AATAACTTACCTGGAAAGAGGTAAACTGTATTGCTTCAGGTTTGTTTCCCTTAAAAATGCTTTCTCTGTATATAAAATTTCAAATTTGTATCACTTTTTATTAATCATGCTGAGAACTTTATGGAAGTCTGATGGAGAGCCCTTATTCCATACTCAACAGAAATTTGAGCTGAAGGATTCAGTGGACAAATAACAGGGACCAGGGTAACCATGGCAACTGTGTCATGGCTAGACTGAGAACTCATGTCTCTTGTTGGAATTCAGTTTTTATTTTCTTAGATTAGCAAACCCAGGAGGAGATCAAACCAATTTTATTTCATTTCAAGCCCACTCTTGGATGTGATATTTTAACTTACATTGAGTGCTCTTATTTTTGCCCCAAAGCACCTTCACATTTATGGTTCCAACCCCTGTGTGGAGTTAACCATTCCTTTTTTTTTTTCTCTTTGCAGTACTGGGAATTGAACCCAGGGGTACTCTACCACTGAGCCATATCTCCAGCCCCTTTTATGTTTTGAGACAGTGTCTTGCTGTTGCTCGGGCTGGCCTGGAAATGATGACCCTTCTGCTTCAAACTTCCAAGACACTGTGATTACAAGCCTGCACCATTGTGCCCAGTTGAGGTTAGACATTCTTATTCCAGCTTACAGATCAAAAAACAGTGGTATGTACAGGACAAGAGGCTTACTAATATCCCAGAGTTTGGCCAGGAGTCTACATTCTTTCCTGCGGGTCATATGGTCTTGCAACTGATCCTGCCTGACACTGAGCAGGGTGGTAGGGTTCACATAGAGGTGATGATTCCATACCATCACTATAAAGGTGTAGAGCAGATGCAAATAAAACTACAACGCTGACTTCAAAGATGGACCTTGGCACCCAGATCAGTAGGTCCATGTAAGTTTTGGCCAAGAGGTTGCCTCAGCACTAGGCAAAGGGTACACTTGGCCTTTTTCTTCCTTCTTCCCTCCCTCTCCTTCCTGTTCCCTTTCTCCCTCTCTCTGATACGCTCCTCCTCCTCTTTCCTGGGTCAAAGCAGAACTCATTAATATAACAAGGAGCTCAGTATCCTCCTTTGCTGGAGAACTGTGTGGAATCAAGCTCTGAGTTCTCAAACTCTTTGTATCATATTTTGGCAGATGCTCCAGGCATAGATCAGAGTATAGGGTCCCTCAGTAACTCCAAGGGGCCTGGAGAAGACACAGCCTTGTCCCCTGCTGAGCATTATTTATTTGCCAGAATTGTCACATTATGCCTATGTTCAACAAATAAATGATCACAGAATCTATAAAATTGGAGAATACACATCTCAGATGAATTCAGTAATAAAACATCCCCATTTGAAATGTTTTTTTGGGATGCTTGGGATTGGACCCAGGAGTGCTTTACCACTGGGCTACATCCTCATTCTTTTTTTTTTTTTTAACTTTTTATTTTGAGACAGAATTTCACTAAGTTAGTGAAGCTGACCTTGAATTTAGGAACCTTGGCTGTTGCTGAGATTACAGCTGCTCATTACCATACTCGGCCATTTGAAGCATTTGTAGGATAGGCATGGAAAGAGCCTTTCTGAGCCTTGGAGACAGAATCTTCTGGGCTAAGAATCTAGTCTCTGCCATTCAAAAGCCCGTGAACCTGTGTTAGCAAAGGATTTAGCTTCTCCAAGTCTCAGATTCTTCATACATAGACTAATAAACCTAACACTGTCTCCACAGGTTACTGTGAGAGTGAAGGGTCATGCATGGCCAGGCAAACTGTAGATGCCCAATAAATGTTAGTTTTCCTCCCAGCAGTCCTGCCTTGCCTTTTCTTTTCTCTTTCTTTCTTAGCAGTTCTTCTTTCGTTTCATACAAAGGCACATTCCCAATTGAGTGACACTATTTGAAGAGTTCATTCTTAAGAAATGAAATTCCCTCTATCTAAACTTTCTACTCAAAAGTCCAACAATTAGCTGATGAAAGGTGCAAATACCACCAACAGCACCATCTTTGGGAAAGAGGAGCCTGGCGTGGTTATGCATTTCAAAGGCTTTATAAAGTCATAGAATCTAATCTCACACTTGATGACGTCTTCTGTCACTGCCCCAGAACTGAATGGGGCCCTTTGGGTTATACATCAACCTTCCATTGCACTTACTAAAATTATAGTTCTATAGTTATTCATGAGATTATTTGTTTTATGCCCAATGCAGTGCCTAGCACACAGAGGATGAATGAATGAATGGAGGAGCATAAGTGTTTCCATTTGCCTTATCTCCTTCCAGCCTTAGCTCAGTTCTGTCAGTGTCCACAGGCAGGGATTACCACCTGCTCTTTCCAGGTGAAGAAAGTGTGCCAGTCAGGGTCATACAGTGAGGAAGTGGTGGGCAAGGCACTTCAGCCCAGACCTCCTAACACCAAACCTGCATTCTTTCCTCGGTACTCCTCTGCCCTTTGACTCACCAGCCTCACCCTCCTGTCTATTCAAATGGTAATATTCTAGAGGGGCACTGTGCCCTGGAGCCTGGGTGTGACACTTGATGGCCATTTACTACACTTTGTGTACAGAAGGTCCACTTTCCATTATAACTCATCTCATCAGGTAATGGGCTATTTATTGGCTGATAATAGCCCTGCCTGCTGAGGGCAGAGCAAGTTCTTACAAGTTCATCTACACAAGTTTCCAGGAGCAAGGAAAGGATCCCCAGAGTCGGGAATTTAAGCTGATTAGGTGTGTGTTGTTTGCTGGAGGGACCCTTGACATTTCAGCTTGAATACTTTTGAAGTTTGACCATTACACCAATTTCTGCTGGCTTCCTGCCCTCCCCTTCTGATTACCTAAGAATATCTTTTTTTCCTCTCCTTTTAAAGCTCATTCAAAGTATTTAGGGCAACTAGGTCTCAGTTTATATTCTTTATTCTTTTTTACTTGCTATCTACTCTTTTGATTTAGATATGCAGTAAACTTTTCATTCCTTTTTCTCTCCATAAACCCTAGTGCACAATCTAGCTTTACTGGCCTACTAAGTCTATCCCTTCCCCCTTTTTAACTCCCTCATCTTTGGTGATCCCTTAGAAGTGCACGTTCAAGGTTAAGTAGAACTTAACATTTAACCAGATATAATGGAAAAATACTTGGCATGGGAATAACAGCAGGTGTGTGCATAGGCCAGTTTACCACCTTGAATTAATTGTGAAATGTGTGGCAAATGATTTCACCCCAACAGTTTCAGTCTCTGCATCTCTGAACCTGCAGTGGCTCCTCCCCAGGCTCTTGGGTTCTCTAATCCATCTCATCTTCTAAACTGACTGCCCTTGAGGACAAATCAGACACTGAACAAGAACCACAAGCAAATACTCCTTCGCCACTCCAGAGCTTGCTCAAGGCTCTTTATCAGGCAGAAAAGGTCATCCTTAAGCCTCCTGTGGTCTGGAAGTACTTGTGACAGGATTCTTACTGTAACAACTTCCTTAAAGAGACTGCAGAGCTCTTTATTACTCACACAATAGCTGAGCGGATAGGAACAGAACAGTAACACCCCTTGAAATGTGGGTGGCATCTACTTCCTGGTGGTTGTCAGGAGAGAAGATATTTGCTCCCACCAAAATCATGTGAAAAAGAGGCTTCATAGGACACTACAGCCAGTCTAAGAGTCTGCTTAAGCTGAGGGTCAGAATGGACTTGAGATTGGTAAGGTCTGGTCTGGCTAGAGAAGAGAGTGGTCAAGAGAAGAGGGCGTAATGGGCCAGGTCACAAACCCAGGGGTTATGTATCAGGACTGTGGTGGCATCTTTATGCAGCCAATATGTTCTGAGCAATGTGTGTAGGAAATAGGGTTGGGGTCCCTGAGTGGGATGGAAACCAAGCCCAGCATCAGGAGCAGAGCAGAGATAGTCAGAAGGCCTCAGGAAGCTAGAAACACAATGACCTCAGTGGTAGGATTTGCAAGTGGCAGTAACAGCAGCAGGAAGATTTAGGAAGTATTGGGGACAGCAGGTTAATAAAACCTTTGACTTAATGGCTGGCTGCATATGGACTAAAAGGGGATCTGACTAGAAATATGAATGCACAAATTGCAAAGCATACAGAAATGTGAGAAAAGTGAGCTTAGACACTAATCTGCACCAAGATGCACAACATCTAGACACACATGATGCAGTGTTCTGTCACACAGTAGATGCTTGGGAAATAATGTAAGTCCTTTTCTTCCACTGCCACCCCAGAGATCAGCTTCTTAGTAAGGATGAATTGATGTCGTGAACTAGCATGGGCCTTGACTGTCCACTTTTTATTAGGATAAATTCTAATTGTTGAATAAAGCTGTTCACATATATCCCATTAAACTATTTTCTGATTCCCAATTTCTTTACCTTTAAGTTTTGAAGTTAAGAACCTAGTCGGGATGTTCTGTGCACGTCACAGAATTTCTGAATTGAATGTAGCCCGTTAGCTATCTTGTACAGTCCAGAACCTGTGGTCAGTCCAAACAGGAGCATGCTTGGAGCCCTGAAGACTTTGACTTAAATAACATTGTGCTTCAGTGGCTTCTAAATAGGAGCAGTGATAGATGAAGGCCACGACCACTTAAGTGATCCCTAGACGCACCTCTTTGGATGGGACCGAGATAGGTAGGCGGATCTCGCCACGCCTGCAGGCAGCCGCCACGGAGAACTCACTCGCTCCCCCCAGGTCAGCAGTGGCTCTGAAGAGTGCTACGGAGGACAGCTGAAGTCAAGGCTGCAACTCACCTCGGACCTGCGGCCCCAGCCCTTCGGTAGGCTGGGCGTTCTTTTTCTCCCCGCACGATGACATCATGTGTTTGGGGTTGAGTTGCTCCATAAAAACGGCCGCGGGGAGCCAGGAGCCCGAAAAGCAGACGTGCTAGCCACGGCTCCCGGCTACGCGCGCGCGGTCCTGGTGCGCGCCCCGCTGGCTGCGAGCGCTGCGCGGTGCCGTCCGAAAGCAAGTGGCTGTTGCCAGCTGCCGACCGGCAGCCAGGAGCCACCGGCCAGGAGCAGAAGATGCCCCACTATAGCCTGCGTGCTGCGACTGTCCTCCTGCTGGTGATCTTGAATCAGCAGCCTTGCAGCCCAGCCCCACTGAATGGTGAAGTTTATCTTTTTTCTTCCTCTCTCCCTTCCTTCTTTCCTTCCTTCCTTCCTTCCTTCTTTCCATTCCTTCTTTACCCCACTCAGCCCCACCTGGGCAGGATTTCCTGCGGGGCTCTTAATGATAAAGTAAAATTATTGCTGGGGGAGCCGGGAAAGCAGTGTATCGAATAACACATTTTAAAGAAAGGATGCTCGGTTTTCCTTTGCTGAGGTTGAATGGATCCGGAAGCACGTTGTCTTTCTAATGGTGCTTTTTTGCCATCTGATCTCTGGAGATGTGGCTTGGGAACTCGCTAAGCAGGGAGGAGAGACCGAACCAGGATTTAAAGTATCGCGCCTCTAATCCACATGCAGACAGTAGAGAAGAGACTGGGCATCTGAGTGGTGTGAGCACCAGGAACTGTTTGCTGCCGCTCTACTGCACAACCCTCAGACAGTAGTAGGGTTTTTGTTGTTGTTTGTTTGTTATGTCCAAGTCAAAGGGATAACGCATCCCATTGTTAAACATTGCTTTTCTCCAGGAGGATTCTATTATCTTGAATGTACAGTATGTGCACACACACATGCACACACATGTACACCTTATTTATAATTGTAATTAGGGTGCTTTACCTGGAAGTGCTGGAGGCTGAGGGTGCAGAATGGAACAGGAGGAGGTGGAGGTGGGTAGCAGGACCTGCAGTGTGGGCTCAAGTCCAAGGCCATGTTAATGAATCACTTGGAATAAGAAAAGGATAGCACTAAGCTCTTACCCCTCTCTCCATCAGCTGGATGAGCACTTTTCTGGGGAGTAGATGGTGACTTTTGTGAATGAGTCCTGGGTAATTGATGAGAGCTCCTACCCTTGACAAAGTTTGTCCCAAATTGTGGACACACTTGTGGGTATGACAGTTCCTGGACCCAGGATGGGTTGGAACATTTGTAGAAGAACCAAGAGGGATTATAATGGCTGAAAATCGATTCTCCCTGGCTAAGCAGTGGTAATGGGAAATTGGTCCTGCTCAGCAGCATCAAAGCTCCGAGCCTCCTCTCCTCTTGAAGGTCATTGTGCACATGGGGAAAGGCAAGGAGCTGGGCATGAGTAGCTGAGGGATTGCTCTAAAGTAACTTCTAATCTTCTGGCTGGCATGATCTGCTTAATATAATTTCCTTCATGTGGGAGAGACAGAATGAAGGAGAAAGGAGTTACATAAAAGTGGAAATTAATTTTTTTGAGGGATTGGGGAATTGAACCCAGGACCTTGTAAATGCTAGGTAAGCACTCTACCACTGAACTCTATCCCTGGTCCAGAAATTAATTTTTAAACTTCAAACTTTGGCATATATTTTCCTCTCAAGGAAGCTGTTCTGAGACTGAAGTTTGCTAGAATTCTTTTCAGTCTCAAGTTGATTCAAGAGAGAAAGGCCATTCATTGCCCCCCTTTCCTTTCTGAAAGCTCATTGCTTTGCTTACTTTGGGGAGCTGCTCCATATTCTCTTCCTTTTCTCTACCCCTCCTTTTCTCTTTCTTTCCTCCCCTTCTCCTTGGCCCCTCCCTCCTCATTCTCCAAGTTGAGGTGGGGGAAGTTTGCAGTAGAAATCCTGACCTCATCTCACACTGATTAGCCTAACCCTAGACTCTGAGAACACAAGTTGTTTTTTTTTTTTTTCCTCCCTGTTATTTATTGTTTGCTATGTTGGCTTTTTGACTGCCTCAGGAGACAAGGTCAAAGTAAAATTCACTGAGGTGTATAGAACATCAGCATTAACACAAGGCTGGGGTAAAGGGGCTAGCTGAGTAATAGGGTCAAAGTGTGGTCTGCTTTCTTTGGAGCATTGAAGCTTCCCTCAGTTGGCACTGAGGAATGTCCAAGAAAAGCAGCTGGGGCCAGGGGAGGATGGGATCATGATCTCCAGGTTCTGGAGAAAACCTTGGAACTCTTGGTTGCTGTTGCTAAGGGGCATTTCAGTGAATTCTGGAGAGTCTGCTCTAGCTGAACCTGTTCCGGAGAGCTGGGAAGTCTTTGGCTGCTGGACGACAGATGATGGTTACTCATGGAAGTACCCAGGACAGAAAACAGGTCCATGCACCCCTGCCCACATCTTCATTTTCTCATGGCATCCCCTCCAGGGCATCTCCCTGCCTAGCACCAGCAGGGTATGCAGGTCCTAACAGGCATTGGCTGAGCTGCCCAAGTCTCCTGGAAGAAACAGATGAACTTTTGAGGAGGAGAATGATTTTCCTCTGGAAAAAGAACTACTCCCTCGGGAAGCCAGTGAAGCCTTGGCTTAAAGTACCTTGTAGGGTCAGTTTAATATTGTTAAAATTCCTGCCCCTAAAGTTAGAGGTGGGAAACCTTTACTGAGAAAGGTGCCCTTTCTCAGTAAAGCAAACACTTCCACGAATGTGTGTGCACTTTCAGAATGGCTTCCTAAGGTTGGATTGGAGCTAATGATGAGTCAGGGTGGACCCTGATCTCCACTGATGAACCCTACTAACTCTACTGACTCACCATTCTTACCTTCATTTTATAGTGAGGCTTCTCCCCTCCCTATGCCCCTCCTGACACTAACGTTTGTACCTGAGACACTGAGTCCTCAGGACCAAGCAGGGCTTGTTCAGAGAGCAGAGGACAGGAATTGCTGCTGCGTTTCAACAAGTCCCCACTCCTGTGTCAGAGGCTTTACAGTCCCTGATGTCCTCTACAATGTATGTCTTGGAGTTTTCCAGAGTATTATGCTGGTGCCTCATCTGAGAATGAGAGCTACAGTACTGGGGGAAACCTCAGCTTAGCAAGCTTTGGGGAGGAATAGTGGAAGATGTATTAAATCTGGGAGTTGATTTTGGGGCAGGTGCAATGCAACCTCCTGGCCGGTGCAGGGCTGCTCAGAGGCAGCAGATACTTTCTGGGGACATCCAGGATTTCTCTTTGGAAAGAGGATGAATGCCCCTCTTACTTGGGCTTTTACCTCTTGGACCTTCATGTGCTCTGCCTGGCAAAGCAGCAATCATCTGGCTTCCTTCCTCTGAAAACCATGATTGTATTTCAATGGTGGACCCTCAAACCAACAGTTAAGGAAAATTTTCCAAAAAAGAGGTCCAATGTCTTCTCTGGGTTGGTTCCAAGGTAATATTTCTCTCTTTTCAACATTTCAGTGAAAGGGCCAGTAGTAAACTGGGGGTTATATACAAATTTGGTTTTCCCATGGAGGCAAAAAAATAGAATAGGACAAGAACAACAAAGTCCTCTTTTAACTATTAAAAATCACCATTGGTTCCAGCAGAAAATGCCCCTGTGATAAATAACCAGATTGCATGCCGGTTAAGTTTTACTAGAAACAGAGAGAGAAAGGGGATGTGAGGTTCTTTCTTTTCCAGCGGTGCCCTCCCATCGCAATCGGCGATGCTTGGAGAGATGGGCCTAGAAGTTGCACCTCTCCTCATTGGATGTGTCCCCTGAGACACATGGGGATGCAGCTCAGCTTGGGGCTCAGTCTTCTTCCAGAGATGAAGAGGAAGGTGGGCAGGTAGGGTGATAGGCGCACAGCTCTGCAATGACTTTTTAAAAATACATTTTTCATGTAGGAACGAAGGACCTGTGTGTCGTAAAGGGTGTGGAGTGGGAGGTGGTAGGTGACTCTCTTTATGTTCCTGGCAGAACCACTCCTCCACGTTCTTACTGCCTCTGGGGATACTAACTCAGAGAAGGATGGTAGCTTTCTTAGAGGAAATGTCTCCCATCTCTGATTAGTGCTCTGCTCTTTGTGTGCTGGTGTGTTCTCCAGGGTATGTTGAGTGGGGGGAAAGCAAGATATAGAACAGAGCTTGCAGAAGGTTGATGTTTATGTGAGGGAAAGGGAGGGGGATATAAATACAGACATGTGTGGCAATCCTGTGTAAAGGCTCACAGTCCATTGATAAACCAGGTGTCCCATGGAAACAGGGAGCAAGGGTTGGGGAAGAGATTTTAATGAGTGGACCCTCTGGCTGCTTTAGGTTTTTGAGCCATGTGAAAGTATTACCTACTTGGACAATTACATTTTGGATTTTCTAAGATATCTGGGAGGCATTTATTCAGGAACCTATGAGGGCTGGGGCTGTAGTTCAGTGGCAGAGCACTTGCCTATTTTGTATGAGGCACTGTGTTCGATCCTTAGCACCACGTAAAAATAAACAAATAAAATCAAGGCATGCTGTCCATCTACAACTATTTAAAAAAAATTGAAAAAGAACACACGAGCCCTGCATGAATTCCCCATCCTGAGCCTGCGAGTGGAGTACAGTTGTTCTGAGAAGCTGTGGTTCTGACTTAAACTCAGAAGTCTTAAGTTTTGGGTATCCACCTCCTTTTCAATCTCACCCATTTCAAAACAAAATCTGTCATGTTTTCCCTAACTCCTTCAGTTCAGTTATACTTACTTGATTCCTTTTGTTCTTTGCAGGATCCAAGTGGACCTATGTTGGTAAGTAGAGATTTTTAAATATATATTTTTAAGGAGATGGTAGTATTTAATGCAAACCCAGAAACTTCATGCTTTTAGGGGATCAGAAAAGTTGTGCTGGTATTGTTGAGAGAAGGGATGAAGGCATCCCCAAGGAACGGTTCCACAAGAGGGTGACACACTGCATTTCCCAACACAGCCTGCTCTGTGCACTTGAGCTGGGAGTCACAGGGTTAAGGCTTCCAGATTCCTGCAGGGATTTCTACCAAACCCTTGGGTACCTCCAGACTGCAAGGGCACTGGGCAAGAGAGAAACTTGCCTCCTCATAGGACATTTTTCCTACAATAAACAAAGAATAAAGGACTCCTTTCTGAAAGTTTGGCTCAGGCCCTAGAACTTGAGCTGTCAGTGTATCTGGAATTAACTTCCTGTTTCCATCTTCATAAGCAAGTGATAGATGAGGGGGTGATGGTTGGTCCTTGGTAGAGGAGAGATGCTCTCTTACATGGAGAGAGGAGCATCAGGTATGCCCCAGAGTTTCTGTGGTTCACTAAAATGTAGTCACTCTGGCAGGCCTGCAAGATAGGCAGTTCCAGGTTGGCTTGACCATGTCATTGCACTGAATTGTCATTGCAGTGAATGTTGTCATTGCTGGAGTGGGAATGGGAAGCCAGGCACCTGTTCCTCTGGCAAGCACAAGAAACTTAATAATAATGTTTTGTTAGGGACAGTGTCATAGAAGATACACAAGATATATTGTTCTGGAGAGTGGAACTGACCACACTGGCCCAGGAGGCATTTGAAGCAGGCAGAGTTATGCTGCCAAAGTTAAAGCTATGAGATGCAATGGCTGTGGGGTGGTGACAGTCAGGGAAGTTGATTACAGCAGTGGACACATAGTCCAGGGAAAGCCCTAACCTTGATTTTCAAAGGTTAGCCTTGGGGTGTTCATTAGTCCAGGAGGTGTAGAAAAGTCACTGAACTGACCAACCAGCTACCTGGCTCTGGCACTATGTAGCTCCATTATTGCTAATGTCCCTAATGTTTTGATGTGCAAAGCACATTGCTGAATGAGTATGTAATTAAGGGGTAGACTGTAGTCTGTAACTGGAAATTACTTATAGTTCACAGTTCAAAGCAGAATATAATAGGTAATAACAACATAATAAATAAATAGTTCGGTTCTCTGATTGCTCAGAGGGCTGAATAGTTAAGGAAGGCTTCCTGGAGGAACTGGTCTTTTCCCAAGGCCTTGGAAGATGGGGAGATTCAGTGAAGGTAGAGGAAGGTCTGTTGGTCGAGGTGATAAGGACATCGAATGCGCAAAGGGAAGACAGAGCAAGGTGGCACTTGAAGGAAGCACATGAAGAAAGAGGGTTTATTGGAGAATAATGGGCTCTAAGGTCAGAAAGATAGGTGGGGTCACATGGGGGGGCAGGCTTTTCCCACCTTGTTCTATACATGGAGGGGCAGGGCAGGTTGTATATCTGGTTTAGGATGAGTAACTCAGTGGGAGGGGAGAGGGGGCAGATGACAGTGAATCGGGAAAGTGGCCTTTGTAGGAGACCTATTCTGTGTCTTCACAACCAGTCTGTAGTAATGGCAGGAACAGGGAAGGAAAGGGCTGGGTGAGAGACCTCACAAAGGAAGAATCAAATGAGTTGGGCTGTGGACCCCTCTGGTGGGCTGTGTCTGTATGCTGATGGTGGGAGTGTTTGTGACCTTCACAAAAAAGGATGGGTCCTGAATTCTGGGCCTTAAACAGTACGATCTTCTGTGAGTCATGTGAGCCTTACCTTCCTCTCTGAATCTGGTGCGGAGGGGAGTGGGCTGTGTCTGTCTAGATCAGTGTTCATCAACTGTGGCTTGGGGTTACCTACATCAGAATCACCTGGAATGCTGTCCAAAAATGCATATTTTGGAGCCTCAGTCAGGATGGGCCGGAAAGAGGGGGGTGGGGGACTGCAAAAAATTCAGTCCCCAAGCGAGTCTTATCTTATGAATGCTTTGTTAGAGGACCGCTGACCACATGGTTCTCAAGATATTTCTACCCCACCTCTTCTACTGGAAATCCAAATCAAGTCTTTGCAGGGTTCCCTGCCTCTCTGTTACAGTCCCCCTGGGCAGAATGAGATGTTTATAGGGAACAGAGAGTCACTGTGTCTAGGAGTGGGAGGAAAAGATTTGCTGCCACCTGTGACACAGTGTTCTTCCGTGAGGGCTTCTCTATGCAACCTTATCAACTGGTCCAGAGCATTTCTTTCTGACCACCTGCCCTGGTCAGACCTCTGCCCTTCTGCCTTGTACAATTAGAGCAGCTCTTTGTTGAGGAAGCAGAGGGCAGAGTCTGATGATGCCCGGACTTGCATGGGGTAAGCTCAAAAGCAATCTGGTTTTCATTAGTGAAATGGGTGCATGTGGTGTGGTCAGCCCTCAGAGGGACAAGTGGAAGAGGAAGATGGAGGATGGTTCAGGGGGCAGACAGGTTGGGGCTGGCGGCTGGCCTGTGCTCCAAGTCATAGGTAAACAGAGGGCCCAGCATTGGTGCTGGAGGGCAGGGTTTCCAAGCAGCCAGGGCTGTGCTGAATGGGCAAGTCCAACCAAGTGCTACATGCTGGTTTTCCAGGGTACAGAACTCAGCTTCGTGCAATGCACGTAGACAGTGCTGAGTCATCCTGCCTCCGGGCTTCCTGCTGCCTGGTGCACATGGTGGGGCTTCTGGAGGTGTGCGGAGAGGGAATTCTACCCCCCATCCCCTGCATGTAGATCACCAGGCTGACACAGAGATGGCACCCCAAAGAGAGGAGGAGCTTCTGACAATGAAGATGGGGCAGCCCTGCCCAGCACTCCTCCTGGGTGACTGATACAGCATCTAAATATCTGCCGGGTTGAGATTTTCTCCATCATGAGAGAAAGAAAGACAAAAACCTGTGTTTCCCCAGTCAAACCAGTGCCAAGTCAATCCTGCGGAGCCCTGGTGGCTTCTCCTATTCCAAACTGTGACTGCAAGTCATGTTGTCACATGAACTGAGGACAAACTCCAGCCTGCTAAAATGAACCTGTTCTCCCAAACAGAATAGTAGGTGTTTGTAGAGGGTGGGGGTGACCAGAAGGTGACACGAGGAGGTGCTGTTTATGTTCAGGTCCTTGATATGAGTGCTGTGTCAGGTTTGTGAAAATTCATCAAACTGTTGGCTTATGATCCTTGCACTCATTTGTGTGTATATTAAATTCAATATAAGAGTTAAAAAGTTCCATCTAGCTGGGAGAATCATCCTTACCCTTGTAGGGTTTTGTTAGTTTGTTTTAGCCCTCCCCAAGGAGGGGGGAAATCCCAGAGTGTTTGAAACAACAGGGTAACAAACAAACAAACAAAAAAGCCTACATTGGAGCTAATGACCCAAAACCAGCACATGAGCAGAGGACGAGCACTGCGCTTCACTCCTGATAGTATCCGACAATGCTCTTCGCATGTGGGTTGGTTCAGAAAGAAACAAATACCACTATCTGATATAGATATAGGGCAGGTAGGAAAAGACAAATTTTAAAGGTGATAGGATGGGAGAGGAACATGGATGCTGAGGCCTCTCCTGGATGGAGAGTGAGTCCCACCTAAGTCACCACCCCAAAGGGTATCCATGAGGCCAGCCACTCCATCCCATGCAGAGAACTCTGGGAACATGGGGGCTTTGCTGGGGCAAGGGGCTGGCAGCTGGCTGCAGTCGCTCACAGGGGCTCCTGCCCAGCTTCTCGGCTGTGATGGGACTGGCCTGGGCTCTAGCAGGACTCAGTGTGATCCAGGCAATGCCATGTACTCACACTGCTGTCCCAGATCCACTCCTTGGCTCCTCTCCTAGACAATAGAGTCTCCATTGCAAAGTCTCCTTTGGCAACCAGTATAGGCTTTGTTACAGGGCAGAGGCCTTCCAAGAAACTGAGGCAGTGCTGCGGCCCCCCTTCAAACTTCGATTCTTACAATCATGTCAGAAAGATTTCAGACATGTCACCAGAATAATGCATGAGTTTATTAGAAGGGATTGGAAAGGGGAAAGGGGGACACTCTGAAAGGAAAGAATGGATCCTCTCAGGAGAGAGATGGCTTGCCCCTCCTGCTTTCCATTTTCATTGAAGTTTCCAGGGACATTTCCAGAGCTTTCTGCCCAGGCCCACTTCTTGACTGTTTTTTCCTTTCCTTTTCTTTTTTTAAATACACAATAGTGGAATGCATTACAATTCTTATTACACATATAGAGCACATTTTTTTCATATCTTTGTATATAAAGTATGTTCACACTAATTCATGTTTTTATACATGTACTTTGGTTTTTTTGCATTACAATTCTTATTACACATATATACCATAATTTTTCCTATCTCTGTTTGTATATAAAGTAGGTTGACATCCAATTCGTGTCTTCATATATATACTTTGGATAATGATGTCCATCACATTCCACCATCCTTGCTAATCCTCTGCCTCCTCCCTTTCCCTCCCTCCCCTCTTTCCTATCTAGAATTCATCTATTCCTCCCATGTTCCCCCTCCGTACCCCACTATGAGTCAGCCTCCTTATATCAGAGAAAACATTTGGATTTTTGAGATTGGCTAACTTCACTTAGCTTTATCTTCTCCAACGCCATCCATTTCCCTGCAAATGTCATGATTTTATTCTCTTTTATTGCTGAGTAAAATTCCATTGTGTATATATGCCACGTTTTTTTTTCCATTGACTTTTGACTGACAGCAGGATGAAATCAGACTTTCAAGTCCCCACTGGTCATGATACCCATAGTGTCTTTGGCCCATCCTGACTGGAACCTGTTCTTATAGATTTCATGGTTAAAGAGAATTATCTTTATCTCCTTGAGTTCTGGAATCTGGTTTGGGTAAGGGTCACAAAAAGTGCCCTCCTTGAGGGTAACTTGGCATTCTTGTTATCAGCATTTTGGGCCTGCATTTCTCCTGCAGATAACAGGTAGTTTGCTGAGGAATGTGACACATATCCTGTCAACTTAAGCCA